CCGGGTTGCGGCTCCGTGAGTGTTTGAGTTTATCTGACGCCGGCTGCTCGCCCTGCTGGACACACACAGGAACTACAATCACTCACTCCAACTAAACACTCACACACACGTCTGAGGAGCAGGGTCTGTGCATCAGGCTGCATGATCTGGACTGCGGCCTGTAAACGATCGAGCCCTGGCAGAGCTGGAGGGTCATGTTCGACACGCAGCGAGCCGCCCATCCTTTAAAGTGCCCCTATTATGCCATTTCCAATATTGCCTTTCATGCAGTGTGTAATGTAGCTGTATGTGAATGTAAACGATCTGCAAAGTTGTAAAGCTGAAAGTGCACGATAAATAAGTTATTGTCTCCCAAAATAAAGAATCAACTCTGAACAGCTGAAATGAGTCGTTAGTAATTCGAATCCCACTTCCGTGACGGCTACACGTCACAGGGTAACACATTTGCATAATGTGCGCAATGCAATTTAATACTACTTAGTCATAATATTCTAAATGAATCGGGTGTTTGGATGATTTGTAAATAACCTAGTTTAACAGTTTGGTCAAACCCTTCTGAACGATTTATCTAAACAAACAAAAAAGCATATGATTCTTAAAATTAATGTGGTCATATAGGCCTATATATATTGTGTACTTGGATTGATATATATATATATCTTCTGATTTAAGACAGAACTATTTAGATATGGGTCAGATGCACTATTCCCTAAACCTATACTTAAGATGTGGATACCAAATATATCTGTCTTCTCAGGTGTGAATCACAGCATTATGCATGATCATTCACGCCTCCTCGCATATACCTTTTCTACACAAAAAGTGTCTTAGAAAATTTAAATCAATATATTGTTTTCTGTGAATGAGTAAGATGATTTTCACATAATTTTGAAGCAAAAACTCTAGACTTCAAGATCCAGTTCTCAAAAGTCTTGTGATCAAATGTTCTGTATGTGTTTTATCGCCTTATTTCAGTGACTTTAACATTGTAGTTTTTCACTAAGCACGCATAAACATTGTTTTCTCAAAAACACAATCACGTACATACATGCTGCTCAAATATTATTGTAACCCAGTTTGTGCTGATTACAGTGTTATTAAACTTTAGACATTCAAATGTTTGTAAGCAACTGAAAAAAGCACAAATGTCAGGGCATGTCAAAACTTTTCCAGGCCCCAAAACACCCTCGGACCCCAGAGGGTTAAAATAATATTAGTGCTACTAGTATTACAACATTAATATTCTAACTTATTTGTAACATTTGAACTTTTGATTTAGTGCAATATTTTGTACTGCCATTAGGGACTGCCTGGCTGTTGCATGCATAAAATGCAACTTTTTTATTCTGACAGTGTATGATTTCTATTAACATTACAGAATAGAACATGATCAGTATTATCTTTCAACGTTCAATTTAAATAACTGTAATTGCACAAACTATGTAAGCTACAATTTCAGTTTGTTTATTGTGAAATAACTCAAACATTTATGTTTTTATTTCTGTTCTCTGATAAGCATTGTTCAGGGCTGCCGTTCCCAAAAGCTTTAATGCTTTCTTATGATACTTTTGGGAAACGCAGCCCTGTTTGAATGCACTGTCAGCAGTGAGTGAATGCTCTCTGTGATTGATTGGTTCTGTCTTGCAACATTTGCGTGTGTTCAGATGAGCAGGAAAATAGTTCTATCCTACACAATTACTCGCTAACAAAGGTTATTCGTCCAATTCAATGCATATTGTACGCATTATTATTATTATTTTTGCTAAATAAACAAAACCACTGGTAAATAAAACGCACCTTAGTATCGATATTTTTGATCGATTGTTTTGAGTAACGATACTTTCGATACTCACGTCAGTATCGATATATCGATACTTCGGATCAATACGCCCATCCCTACTCTCGACATTTGTCAGTAAAATAACGCCATAGGCTCACGGAAAGGAGGGGTTTAGAGAGACTGAAACTTTGAACTGCTTTGAGCGAATCATTTGAGAATCGCTGGAAAATGAGGTGATAATAAATGCATATTTTGAGAAAACGAAAGCGTTTTTTGACCTTGCATGCATGTAATCCTATTGTAGGAGACTCCCAAAACAATATTAGGAACCGTAAAAATGGCATAATAGGGGCACTTTAATGACTAAATAGGTTTAATATTGCCACAATCAAGCAAAACCATTTCACTAAATGCTCCTCTCCCACTGCAAGTTTACAATTGTAAAAAAAGAATATGTTACATTTATATAAAATGCAGCGAACAATAAAATATATTGTGAATATAAAATGAACGGAACTAAAAAACTAATAGTCGAATCCACACATACACTCTCATGTAACTACAGCGGTGACCATCATCGCAGCTTTGGCAGGAATCTCATCCTATCAGCACATCCCAGATGCTCAACCTTGGCTCCTCATGGTCTCATCAAAGTGCCTCTTTCCATCCAGGTAAAGCATAGACTCTGCAAATGACAACAATATTAAATTACAAGTAATACCATTCAAATATAATGTAACAATATTTGTAAAAATCTGTATTCTGACCTCCATAGCTCTGTGGAACAATAGCTGGGATATCCTTCTCAACACGAAAAGTAAAGTGAAACACATTTGTGGTGCTGTGTTGCCGGGTCAATGGGTCAAGCACCTCTGTGTGAACCCTGACCTGGATGTGCATCCCTTCAGTGTAACAAACCTGACAGAACAGTATTATCATCAATCTTATTCTGAAGGACAAAAATGGCTACAAATTAGTGCATTTGATATTTAACAATTTAGAACCTGTGAGGACAGCAATAGCAAAGAGCCGATTTCTACTGGCTTTCGAAATACAATGTCATCTACAGCCACCAGCGTTGGTCTGCATCCACTGAAAGATACAAATATAGCCATGTGATGAAATGAAATACTTCTTTACAGGTAATATTCAATAGTCAACAAAGGGGAATCTCTTACGCAAATGCACAAGCATTCGCCCAACCAAGTTCATAGGCCTTTCTCATCAAAAATCCACCAAATATCCGGTTGAAGATATTTCTTTCCTGTATAATGCAAAGAATAAAGAAAGTCCAGGCAAGTACATAAAAAAACATCAAGCAAATGTACTAATTGACATTGTCAGTTTCATCGATTAGGCCTAAGTACTGCAAAAAAATACTTACTTGTGGATGGCAAATCTCAAGCCCTTTCATTTTGGCATCTTCTATCCACACGGAGTTGGGTGGTAAAATACGACTCCGAAAGCTGACAGTTCTATTGGGAGAAGGTAAATATTGCTAAAAAAAAATGGGCACAGATTTATAGCTGTGTTTTGATGATAAATCTGACCGTGTGTCTAGAGTGTTGAGGAACAGGTTGTGAACGAGAGTCCTCTCCTCAGCTGTAGGAGCCACTTTCAGAAGAGATGCTGTGCTCAGCTCCACACGCCTTGTCTTGTTAACTGATCAATATAGAGAGCATCAGTCTTGCTCTAAATGTTTCAAATTGAAGTCGCAATTGTGATTACAAGCAAACAAAAGTGCTACTCACTCTCTCCTTGCTGAAAAATTGCCTCTTCCTCTGGACTCTCTAGTTTTAGTGGGTTTATAAAAGCTGCCCTGGTAAACAGTACATAACCCATGCATTAATTTACAGACACAACACCGCAATCATAAATATGTTTATCATACCAACATGTTTAATGTTACCTTTTGTTTTCAGGATCTCGAGCCACCATTACAAAAGTGGCATCTAATACATCAGTGTACGCCCCATCATGATACTGTGAAAACAGTTCATTTTAGTTCAATGCCACTTTTATGTGCAACATTTAATACATGTTTTATTAACAGACTTTAGGAATACCTGAGACATGTGCATTTTAGCTTCTATTGAGGTTTTGCCAACCCACGTCACATGACCTGTGAACTTGATGTCACAGTCAGGGTAGATGATGTTTTTTCTCATGTCTGTGAAACAATAAAACAGAATTTAATGAATTAATTTAACAACAACAAAAAATGACTACTACTTCAAGAAGCAATACCGATCTTGTCCACTAGGGCGGTGACAATAGACAGTGGAGATCTTTTCAGCTCCTTATTCCATGTGTGAGAGTAACAGATGAGCACTAAAGAGACAAGAATGAGACGGTATGTGATAAGAAAGAGCGAGTTATGATCAGCCAATACTGCTGTGATTACCTACATCTCCTTTTTAAAACATAAAGGTTCTTTATTGGCATCTATGATCAAATGAAGAACCTTTAACATCCATGAAACCCTTCCAGTGCACAAAAGGTTCTTAATCATTGAAAAAGGTTCTTTAGATTATTAAAATGTTCATCACACTAAGAAAAAAAGGTTATTTTAAGAAAAGTTCCGTGAAGAACATAAAATGGTTCTTCTACCTATATTTTTAAGATGTATTTATTACCTGCTAAACTGTCCAAGTCCTCCAAAATCCTTCCAAACCTGTTGAGAAAAAGGTATTTAAGCAAAAAAAATGTACTCAGATCAGAATGAATATTAAAAAATGGCTGGTTGTGAAGTTTGATATATTCTGAATGCCACAAATTTAATAACAGACAGGCAACCAGGAAATAATGCAGCAGGTGAGAAGTGGTGGTCTTTTAGCACCTGACACTGTTGTGATAGTTGAGGTATTTCTCTCTCAAGGCAGGCTGGGTACCCAGAGGAAGATGCGCCTCAATTGCGCTGTCCTTCATTGTCTTTGCAGGAAGTTCATCTTGACTCTGTGCGAGATACTGGCTTAGTGATGCACGCTCAGCTAATGCTTGCTGATGATCTCTGTACAACAAAATGGAGAAAATACAACATTTTATGCAAAGTAGTGACATAAGGACTATCATTCTGCAAAATGAATAACATATATATGTAAATACAGTAACATACTTCCAGTTGGTGGATGCTCCGACTATCTCCCTCAGCCTGTTGCGAACTGGGAAAATAAGGAGGAACAAAACGGAGCTTGAAAGATGTACTGAGATATCACATACTGTATGTACTAAAGAGTAGTGTTGGACAGGAAAATGTAGCAGCATCTGTATCATCCCATAATATAATATGGAGACACAGACAAAACTAGTCAGCAGAAACAATGCATTAGAAAGGAACCAAGACTAGTCTGCATGAACAGGCTGCTCACAGGGTGAAGGTGTTTGAAGAAAAAAACACACTAGCTGTCAAAGTACAAAGAACTACATGCACATTTACCATTAGATAACAGCAGGACAGTATTTATTAAGCCACATGCAGAAAGAGACTGTCTGAGAATATCAAAGAGAGTAAATGGTCTTTCATTTTACCATTGCTCACAAGTAAAAATGTGTTTCCTGTGGGGACATAAAAACGAGTCAGGACTGGGAACACACACTGATGTAATGAGGTAAATATTATAATGATTACAGTGTGCATATATAATAATAATTAGGCAATAATTTCACGTGAATTACTACATTATTTATTTTGCACCAAGAGCTAGCCAGAGATTACAAATTAAATTTCTGTCAGTGATGCACTGATATACTGTGTGTATATATATATATATATATATATATATATATATATACACACACACACACACTAAAATGTACAACAAAAGCATATGTGGGCAGAGTGAATACAGGATGCAGGTAAAGTGGGACATTTTATGGTCACTTTAGTAATATATTTAAGAATAAACACATACTACATTAAGTCCCATTTTACCTGCATTTTTTTTTGTAATAATTACCACACACACTAAAATGTACAACAAAAGCATATGTGGGCAGAGTGAATACAGGATGCAGGTAAAGTGGGACATTTTATGGTCACTTTAGTAATATATTTAAGAATAAACACATACTACATTAAGTCCCATTTTACCTGCATTTTTTTTTGTAATAATTACCCTCAGCCATATCTGGTGCTTTCCCTTGTCGGCACATTTGACCCGTGGAAAACCCTCTGCACATTAGGGACGATGCAGACTTCAGGACCCTTTACAGAAAGCAAAAACATGGGTAGAGAGAGTTGACTTGAAAACATTAATACACAAAACTGCGAATGGTAAAATCCCAAAAGTATTAAACCTTTAACTAAAGAAACTATGTAAAAAAAATTTTTTTTTAAAAAAGGTCCCATTGAGAGACCAGGCTGGTCTGGAATCCTTCATGCATGACTCACAAATAATGTGTTTACACTAGACGCGTGACGCAAGATAGCATTTTAAAACTCACCGCGGAGAAAACATCTTCCTTGTTCTTGGCTCACCACTTTATTGTATAATAACAATGATTTCGTGAGACATTCAACAGCTCACTTCTTGCATAAATGACAGCTTTCTTAACTGACAGTGATCCTCACTTCCTGGAACGTATGCGCGGCTAGTCTACCGTACTAACCGTTTTAAAAGCGCATAAAAAAAGATGTTTTCCTCACTAACCGGCCAACTTGTACCGTAATTGCGACCGTCATGTTTTGAAAGTTTTCAGTGTTGTCAGTGAGACATATAAATGCTAAAATGTTGTCTTTATACAACATTTGACATGAATTTACACATCTTCTACATTACTCAAGAGGAAATGTCCTTCAAACGAACAAAATTTCAGTTGAAAATACATACATTCCTACAGTGTTTTGATCCCACTGATATATATGCACCAGCATAACGGTGTGTCGTGACGTAGCTCAAATGGACAACTGCTATTGGTCCGCGATCGGAAAAAACGTTCTTATGGTAACCAAACCCCTCCCCCACCGGCAAATATATGCCCGAGTTGACAAACAAAGGACATTTACTAAAGCCAGGTGAACACAGCCGGGTCAGCTGCTGCATGCGAGTCCCATCCAGGAGAAGCCCAAACTTGACAGCGGAGGGTAATATTCTGGGAAGCGAATGAAGAAACACCTTTTGCTTCTCTTCACATATAGAGGACTAGTGAGAAAAGGGAAAAAGAGTAAAAGAAGAAAATGGCCAATTTTAATTTGCGTAAAGCGGAACCCAAAGACGTGCCTGACATATTGCGACTCATAAAGGTAGATTTAACACTGGTTTAATTACATGTGTATATTTGAAGTGCATTATTATTTAGGATAGCAAAATATGATGTCGAAACTTTTTTTTTAAGTTTATAAATATGCCTTAAAATGCGTTTATTGGTGTACTGTTCCATGTTATTATATTAAAAGTTAATGTCACACCTATTATGATCTTTATATTTATGTTAAATTGTTTCAAAAAGTTTCATGACATAGATGGAGTATGCAAATATGACCCTGCTTGAAAACAAGCCCTAGGCCCACCGCCTACAGAACTTGACATTCTAACAAGTTCAAGTTCAAACCGCATCTTTTCTTTCCACCTTCTACAGGAACTCGCTAAGTATGAAGAAATGGAAGACCAAGTTATATTAACTGAGAAAGGTGAGATTACATTATTTATCAAATGTTACATTTGCTCAGTAGTTGGCCAGGAGTGACAACAAATGTTCTGTGTTTAGATCTGCTCGAAGACGGATTTGGAAACCACCCATTTTACCACTGTGTGGTCGCAGACGTGCCAGCCGAGCATCAGAAAGTCGAGGGTAAATATCAAGACAAAGATGATCTTTAGTGAACTTCAACATGTTGAATAGCGGAATATACCGTTTATAGGTAACCAATAGAAACAAAATGCGTTGTTGAACGTTTTATCATGTTTTTTTTAAAATTATTATTATTTTTAATATTCTTACTTTCATGCACAAGCATGTAATGCAATTATGTAAGACACCAGTGTTCACTTACAGGTTATTCTGTGATTGGATTTGCCATGTACTACTTCACCTATGACCCTTGGATTGGCAAATTGCTGTACCTTGAAGATTTTTATGTAATGAAAGAGTACAGAGGTAAGGGTGTGTTATTAAGTTGTCTTTTATGAAACTAGGTGCATCCTAAATTCCCTTGACCATTTCATGCTTCACAGGTTTTGGAATTGGGTCTGAAATCTTGAAAACCCTCAGTGATGTAAGTCATCCTGTTTACATTTGTTGCACATACAGTTTGCATCATTAAAGACAAACATGGATACAAAACTGTGTAATTGCTGACACAAAATTATAAGCAAGTGATTTCAAACTCATAATAGACCACAGAAATGTAAGTGTTTTATGTCATCTTTAAATGATTTTATGCATTACATGTCTAAACGTTGTTTCCCCCTGCAGACAGCGGTGAAGAATCGGTGCAGCAGCATGCATTTCATCGTGGCTGAGTCCAACAAGGCATCCATCGACTTTTACAAGCGACGCGGGGCTTCCGACCTCTCGCTGCAGGAGGGATGGCGACTTTTCAGGATCGATAAGGAGAATCTCCTGAAAATGTCTGCCGAAGAGTGAGCTGGCCCGATGTTCCAGTGTTCAAAGAGGAACTAGGGATGGACACAACCATTTCTCAGTTTAAATAATACTTTAATGCTTACACAAAATACTTTTAAATACTCTGTGGGTATTCATATTAATACACAGCAATTTACTCTGAGATGAAGTTACAGTAGTGCTTGTATTCATCCTTCTATTTCAATCATATTCTGTAGTTTGTATGTCAGATTAGCTTATCAATAGTCTTTTATTTGTATCCAATTTAATGCATTAAAAGTCTCAAACAGAAAAAGTGATGTCTTGTAATTAATTATCTGCGTAAGTTAACACCTTCAAGTTTTCCTCCTAGTCACAGTGGTAAAAGGGTGAAAAAATAAAAAAACAGACTACTATCTGCTCTATAGAGTGAATAAACACAGATTGGATGGTATAACTCTCCTGGAGAATACTGTACTTTGCAGAATATCCCTTTGTTTATGTCCAGATTAGGTTCATGTTACATGGTGCAGACTCTTATCAATGTGGTTTGTGAAATCATAAGTTTGTGAAGATTATAAAAACTTATGCAAGTTTGAAATTTGATCTTTGTATAGTGGCACAGGAAGGTTCTAGAGAATGCAACGACAACACTGGTGTAGTAAATTTTGGAAATACAATAGGAACCATCAGTAAGACCTAAAAGTCACTGAGTTGTTGAAAAATGTCTGGAAATTTCACAGTGCAAGTCAGGTGTGTAGCTCTTTTTTCAGGTTAGTCCAAATGGTTACTGCTGCAGTGTACATTTATGTACAAAAGTAAATTTATATAGTGCACAGAAAACACAGTCAAATATACAGTTCCAGTAAACACGACCAACACAATAATATAGCAAATACCACTAAACTGATCAGTGCATTGATAAGAGAACCAGGTGCAAAGCAGAAACTCCTCGTAAAATGTACTGCTTTGTCTCAACTTGATTTCTGGCTGTCTGTTTTCTGTGTTTTTTCAACCTGGAAAGAAAAATGTAAAAGGTCACAGAGAAGCAAGAGTGTTTATTCTACAAATTCTAGAATGATCTTAATGTTAAATATATGTGCCATCAAAATCATCGCACAATCTTGACTTTGGACTTCTTACATTATTAAGCACAACACAACGGTTTTCAACATTGATCTTAATAAAAAATGTTTCTTGAACAGCAAATCAGCATATAATGATTTCTGAAGGATCAAGTGCCACTGAAGACTGGATTTATGGCTCTTGGAAATTCAGATTTGCCATCACATGAATAAACTAAAATTTTGAATATATTAAAATATAAAAGTTATTTTAAATGATTTCATAATGTTACTGTTTTACTGAATTTTAATGAGATGAACGCATCTTAAGATGAGTTCAAAAACATTGAAAAAAATCATACCGATCACAAACTTTTGAACAGTAGTCTATGTTTCAGTTTCATTTAAGACATTTGGATGAATCTGCTCAAGACATTAACACTGTATGAACTCTGTCTTCAAAAAAAGGGAAAAAACTAGTACAGCACTGTGCCAAGTATCAGATTTCTCCTCACTTTGTCCTTGGATGATGATTTCCCTCTCAGCAGCTCCTCCAAAACAACTCGCCCTTCTGAACCCCAGGAAAAGATGTAGTGTTTTGTGGTCTATAAAAAAAATAAATAATGTTGAAAAAACAGTCAATTCATATTACCCATCACCAGTGGACTAATGTCTGATTTTTTTACAGTAAAACAGTAAACAGTAAAACATGCTTATTAGTCTTCATATAATTTTCAGTGCTTTTCCTGTGAGGCAGTGAGTAGTCTATTATTCACTTAATTTGACTGAGTTTATCCATGGAACAATTCTCAAAATATCCCTCCACTTTCTAGTTTAGCACTTATGGACGGCCAGACAGGAAAAAAGAGGAAGGAACACCGACTATCTGAACATACAATTCACAGACTGCATTTCCTCCAGACAAGCGCTGTTAATATCCCAGGAGGACACAAGTACAGTAGTTGATATTACATTACTCAAAACCTCAGTTACTGCTGTCTGTACTGGACGGCCTGCTGAGAAACAACAACAGACTGTGTCCATCTAAACAGAAAGAACTGTTAACTTGCCCTGGCAACAGAGGCGGCATGCTGTGGGTAGAACATGGAAGTGCTCAGAACCATCAGCCCAATGGGGAACATCAGCCTCTTGATTCTGCTGCCTGTCGGGACAAAACACAACACAACAGAGAGAACAAAAGCGGTTCTTAATAATAACACAAAACAAATGTTAGAGGTCAAAGACCTTATGATCAAAATTGAATCAATAATAATGGAGTAAGAATCATACCTTTTGCTAAATAAAGTCCAAGAAATCCAGAGAATCCTATAACACCCACACTGGGGAAGAACTCAGATGGAGGGTCGTTCAAAAACGCATACATGTCTGAAAAAAAAAGAAATGCAATGCCGTTTCGTATAACCATGGAAATGTTTATAGAAAAACTGTAAATGAAAATAAATAAACAATACAGAAGTAGATTATGAAAAAAGATTAAAATACATTTAAAAAAACTTATGTAAATAAATGAATACAATAATTAATAAAAACAGATTAAAAATGATCATAAAACAAAAAAATCTAAGTAAATATAAAAAAGATAACACTACAGTATTATACTGACTATAAAAACGTATAAACTTAATTAAATTATTAATTATTATTTATTCCTGACATTATAAATTGGGTCTTTATACATAAAAAAAATCTATAGCTGCATTCAAATTTAATAATAGGAGTCCTTCTCATGAGTCTGATCATATTTGGGGGTCTGTGGCATCAAATATCAAAAACCCCTGGTATTGATGAGTATGTGTTTGTGTCCATACCTTTTACAATACTTTGAGTGGTATTCACACCAGGCTCAACTGTCTTGTAGTAAGACTATGATTGAAAGAGAGAAACATTAAGGTATGGGAGACATTACCGATTAATTCAGTACCACAGTCATATGAACAACATAACTTGCCTGTACTTTCTCCATGGCAAACTGTGTCTTTTCCTGCAGGTGTACAAGAATCATAAATAAATCATGAAAACTTTAAACCAAACATTATGATAATGTATAATGTATAAAATATGGAGAACATATGCATGTATTACGTATATCATCTTATGTGTCTGTGTTTAGTACACTGTATTAACTAAATTCTGCATCTTTAAAACTCAAGCTTTCTTATTGAATCACTTCACTATGCACTGTCAGTACAACAGCATACCTGACACCATGAAATATAAGGCTCCACTGTCTTCCTCAGAGATGCTGCAGCCTGCTCAACATGACCGACCTCGGGCTCCTCGTACCTCAGCTGGGACCCAGGTGTGTCATAGAGTGAAAGCTGAAAAATATAGGGGTGTTGTAAAAGCCCTTCAACATCATGTCAATGACCTCCTGATTCTACCCCACACCATCCCAAAACACACTGCACAGGAAGTACCTCATCCGTCATCAGGGTGGTATTTTCTTTGGCCTCGCTTGCTGCAAAAACAGTGGCAGACACCAGGCCAAGGGCTCCGGGCACTGCCACCTCAACAAGGAAGGGCAGAGAAAACGAAAATAAAACAAGTCATAATAACCGTAGAAACAAAGCAAATGATGGATTCACATATTACGTACAAGTACTGGAAAACTGAAATTAAGGAAGCAAAAACAAACAGCAAGGCATATGAGTTGTACTAAAACATCAGTTTCACATGATTCAAGATGAGGCACACTCTCAGAAGATAATGTTCTAGAATTCCGGACATAATATAATTCACAAGAAATACATTATAGAACCATGCGGCAAAATAAAAACAATTTAAGAAATGTATACATTTAGTTTAAATATAAAAATACAAAAACACTGTCAGGTCAATATGCTCCAGTTAGCTTAGCTACATCACTGCTGCCCCTCTATGCGCTGAGATGTAGCGCATCCTCAAAATAAACGCTTTACTGAAAAATCTCAGCTTTCTTATTATGCATAATTATCTAATTTAGTTACACACAAAAATACAACCGTACTTGCAAAATTCGAATTCATGTAATGAAATAAAATATACATATCTTTTTTTTTTTACCTTGGCTATTTTCCCAAGATATGACATCTTTTTCTCTGCTACGGCAACTCTGTGAGGACAAACTTCTCAGCGACGTATAAATATTTCGAAACGTTTTTGTAAAGAATAATATAAATAAACAATGTCACATTCTCTTAGTTGTTGTTCTAAGCATTATTATCTGGTCCGTAGGCTATTAAAATTAGATGTTACTTTTTATATCTTTTGTGTCCCTCATGTGTAATAGTTTTAGTTTTACAATCACAACATTTATTCATAATATGAATAATGTTGTGACTGTAAAACTAAAACTATTAAACATCGTTTTCGGTCATTTAAATAAAGCTGATCTAAAACATTAGATGAAAAACGTAGAAAATCAAAAATGTTGCCTTGACAGCTAACTATAGGCTAAGTATTAAAATTCCTACAATTTTAAAATCACTATTACCAAAACTAAAGCTGAAATAAAAAATTAAGGCAAAATAGAAATATTTAAATGACAAAAGAACACAACAAAATTACTAAAACTAACAAAGTAGTGTAAAATAAAAATAAAAGCGAATTCTAAATATTAATAAATACTAATAGGCTATTAAAATAACACTGGAACAATGCAGCTCACACCGTTTACTGGAATTATATGCATTTTCTTAACACATCAACAAAAGTTTATAAATTTTATTTCAAAATGTTACTAATTTATTAGAAGAATTTATTAAAGAAGACATATTTTGTCTGATGGTTAAAGATAAATGTACATAAATTAATTGGAAAAGGCACTTCAAAGAACAACTTTTAACATCTTAATCTTCTACATAGACCAATAAATGGTTACAAATAGCCTACATTAATGCCCTGAGTGATGTTATCTACAAGACTTAGAGTACAAAGTAATTTAATTCATAATTAAATATTTCCTTGTGTGTTTAATGGGGGTGTGGGGGAATCAACAGACCATCTTAAAAAGCAAAAAGAGACCCAACAAATAACCCCTTAATAAGTAACTGGTGGTGGTACAATCTCAACATCTTTTGGAGTGAGTGGAAAATGAAGAACAATTCCAAACTTTTCTCTCAACAACTCTGTGATTTCTTCATCTGAAAGATCTCTTGTGGTTTTTGTAGCTTGTTGTCCATCCACTGAGGACAGACTGGTTATAATCAGTCTGCAGCCCATGATTGTGATTCTTCCAGTGGGCAGTAAGAGTGAACAGAGAGACGTGCAGAAGAAAATCGAGCTAGCAGAACTCTGATGGTAATCACACATGGCTCTGAACTCATCTCTGTCACGTGGCTCCAGGGTGAATTTGTACTGTTCCGTCCAACATTCTTCTCCAACCCCTGATACTTCAGTCTCAGATTTCACTTCCATGAAAATGAAGTTTCCCTGAGATCTGAGGCGATACGCTCCGTGGCTCTGAACGTGAGGACTGTCTGTCTCAAGAGAGAGAGGGAGCTGGAATCCGGATCCGAACCCTACATCACAGAGCCACCTGTGTCCATCCAGCTTCACCATCATGATGAAGTGGTCGAACGGAGGCCCGTAAGCACCGGTGAACCGATTCCTGACCTGTGCTGAGAGAATAGTCACGTCGAAGCCCATCTGAGATAGAAGCCATGAGAAGAGCCCATTATTCTCAAAGCAGAATCCTCCGCGGCGCAGGACGACGATTTTTTCATATAAAAGTGGCAACTCAAGCCTGACTCGTTCTCCGATGTGAATAGTGAGATTCTCAAAGGGAACTGTCATTAAGTGATTCAGGTGAACGTATCGCAATGTCTCCAGCGTCGGAGGACATGGTCCCGAACAGCCGATACGTGCCAAATACTTTTGAACGTCCATTGTTTTGCAAAGACCGCAGGTATGTAGTTAGGCTGAGAAAATTGTAACCAACAGTTGAACACATCTACCGGGAGCAAACAGCATGCACCTTTAGACGACCTTTAAGCAAGTTTTCACTTTGCATAGGCTGTAAACACGGACTGTACTTTCTCGGAAGTCCAAGTCTTGTGCTCATGAAAGTTTATAAGGGCATTAAAAATTCTCATCAACCCTTCCTTAACGGTTTGCTATGTTTCTAGAAGACGATTAAAAGTACATTGCAAATATACGAAACTAAAAAAGTTGGTTTTAAACAAATTTAGACGTAAACGGAAGAGGTCTGTTTAAGTGTTGCCAGATACCACAAGAGAAAGCAACTCAAACAACCAAAAATAAGCGATTGTTTTAGAAATATTAGCTAATGAAACATTAATTAATCGAGGTTAAACCTTTGAAAATAATATATTTTCAACAGTTAGTTTTGTTTCACAAAATGTTAACATTTAATTAACGGTAACATTAATATTTTTCATAGTCTACACACCTCTCATACTTACGTCTTGCGAGGCAAAGGCATCAGATTAGCGCATCATTGGATGAGGAGCCAAGCAATTGCAAACCCACATACCGTTTTTTTTTTTTTAAATGTATAAATAATGAACCGAACCGTCCACTTTGATTTTTAAAAGTGGGGGGAGGGGGGCAACACATAAACAAGCGACTTAAAATCAATGGACATGGCAACACACGCTCTAGTTAACGGCGTCTTTACTGGCATTGGCCAATCAGATCTCGGAGCTCTTTTTGGTTTCTAGGAGATGCTTACAAACAACACGTTGTTATGAAAAACACAGACATGCAAGTCGCTGCTGTTTTATAAGATGACAAAATAATATTATAGTATATATATATATATATATATATATATATATATATATAGTGCTAGCCTATATATAAACGTACACTATACTTTTATAATAAGCTATTTATGAAGAAGGATTTAACTACAACATTGTATTTAAAATTACCATAAAACGGTAGGTTCTTTTGTTTGTTTAAATTAATTGCTATTTGGTTAATCTAGAACGTCAGCCTATGGTGTAACGTTAGCCAATTAAAGTAACACAATTTTCATGTGTTAGTGTGTGTAGCTGGTACTTGGGTCCAGAAAAAATGATGACGACGCCTTTTTCCTTATTGCATGTATTGAATGATATTCTGACTGGTTAATGTCCTTTTTGCGCTCTTTTGTTTTCACCTTCTCTTTGTCATTATCTTAAAATACAAACAAAGTGATGCCTCCTCCTGAGACAATGTACTGCGCCCAGCAGATCAGCATTCCTCCAGAACTGCCTGATATTTTAAAGCAGTTCACAAAAGCTGCAATCAAGACACAGCCACGTGATGTGCTGCAATGGGCAACTGAGTAAGTTTTGCTTTATTAAACAAGTATACTATGATAATGCATCAGATTGGCATTATATATAATGTATGCTTTATAAAACAATGGAAATATAATATAGTATGACAAATGACAACAATAAAACTGCTTCTCCTCCAGCTATTTTTCAGCATTATCAAAAGGTCAGGACCTACCAGTCAAAGAGAGGCTGGAAATGCCAGTGGCAACTCAGAAAACAGACACAGGACTTACACCAGGCCTTCTAAAAATCCTTCATAAACAGGTGTGATCCAATGCAGTTCTTTTGTATGTTTTATACATAGTACAGCAGATATATTTATGAATATTGATGAAAATTCTCTCGCCTGTAGTTTGCACCTAAAGAAATCATTACAAAAGAGGAGCTTCTTCAAAAGTGGAATGACTTGTGTTTGCCTATTGAACAGCTTGACACAATCCTTGCTCTTGGCAACTTCAGTGAAAATATTAATTGGATGCAGTTTTCTGCTTTAGGATGCAGCGCTTTGGGTGGGGTGAGTGGCTATAAATATGTAACTGTGTACTTAACGATACATTAAAGGAACGGTTCATCCAAATTTGTTGGAAATTTAGTCATCCAAGATGTTGAAGAGTTTGTTTCTTCATCGGATGAAATCTAGAGAAATTTTGCATTACTTCACATGCTCAGCAATTGATCCGCTACAGTGAATGGGTGCCGTCAGAATGAGAGTTCAAACAGCCGATAAAAGCATTACAATAATCCACAAGTAATCTTTGGGACTCCAGTCCATCATTAAGGCATTTAAAACATAATTTCTGGACAAAATACGAGCCCATAATCCATAATTATGGAGTCATGGAATCAACGGTTTGAAATGTTAAAATGATGGATTTGTATATTTCAAACATGCAGCTTTTCATCTCACAAGACATTAAATGATGGGCTTGAGCCGTGTGGATTACTTGTTATGTTTTTATCAGCTGTTCTCATTCTGACGGCACCCATTCACTGCAGAGGAACCATTATGCAAGTGATGTAATTCTAAATTGATCCAAATCTGTTCTGATGAAAAAACAAACACATCAACATCTTGGATGGCCTGAGGGTGAGTACATTTTTAGATTTTCAGTAGATTTTTAAATAACTTTTTGGTTGAACTGTTCTTTTCATGATATCATACGCTACGGGCTTTATTTGAGATGCTGTAAATGTAATTCTACTAACGGGCTCTAGATGGCAGTGTTGGATTTTTAAATGGTTTCAAATTTCAAGGAGTTGAACAAGAACTAAATATTTACAAAAAACGATACAGACAATGATGTTCAATTCAATCAAAGTTTGCTAAACAATGCCAAAAAAGTGTGTTTTTGAAAGAGTGTCTACTGTACTGTTCCCACAGACCATCACAAGTGCTTTGAAACATGCTTGTGAAATACTCACAGAGGACCCTGAGGGTGGTGCAGCCCAGATTCCTTTCAACACATTTCAGAGTCTCTACACATACTTGGCCCATCTGGATGGAGAAATTCCTAAAGAACAGATCGACAGCTTCTTGCATAGTTTAGAGGAGTATGCATTAGTACACACACACACACACACACACACACACACGTTTGTTTCTGTGAATTGTGGGGACTTTCCATAGACTTCTATTACTTTTATACTGACCAAACGATATTTTCTATCCCCTACCCCTTACAGAAAACCTGTTTGCATTGTTACACTTTCAGATAAACATCATTTACTATTTGTAATAATTTTAACCGCAGGCTGGTCCCCACAATGTAGCATAAACACGTACACACACACACACACACACACACACACACACACATGCATTCAGTTAAAATACTATTATTTTAATACTACTACTTCAAAGGTTAATGGAAAACAAGAAGCAAAAACAAAAGTAAAGTGGTATGATCAAAGCTGCCCATTTGCAGGAGCAAAATATGTCATTCTGACAGTAGGTAGTTTGAGACAAAATGGCAATAAGAGGCTTTATTGAATGAATTAGACACCTTTTTTGAGGGTGACAGTTTCTTTTCTGTTTTACTTTTGTTGCCAAAGAGGTCTTTTAGGAGGACAAGTGATAAGGAAGAAAATTAATTGCTTTGACATTTGTTGCTTGAGGCACCTTCAAGTCTTTTTTGTTAGAATTTACACCTGTGAAATTACAAAGCCTTCTGTTGTTTCTTTCGTAAAACCGAAAAAAAAAACTGTTCTATATTCAAAACTATGATTGAAATAATTGAAAAGGTACATAATACATGCGTCTTAAAACATCACATAATGCAATAAGATTATGTAGTTTTCCAGTTGCCTAATATAAGACAAAAATCTGAACCACTATTGTCTTTACTCTTAAGTCAAGTCAAGTCAAGTCACCTTTATTTATATAGCGCTTTTAACAATACAGATTGTGTCAAAGCAACTGAACAGCATTAATTAGGAAAATAGTGTGTCAATAATGCAAAATGACAATAGTAAACACTAATTTTCCAGTTAAAGACAGTTCATCATTGAATCAGTGATGTCTTCATTCAGCTCAGTTCAGTTTAAATAGTATATGTGCAATCAAGTCAACGATATCGCTGGAAATGAAGTGTCCCCAACTAAGCAAGCCAGAGTATAAAATTGATTTTAAAATAGAAAATTAGACGACAAAGAATTAACTTGACGGAGCTCAAACTCAAAACACACGGTAGCAACAAACAGGAAGTGTATGTAGTAAGACAAGTCAGTCTACAAATGCAGAAACAATACCAGAAATTATCATTGCATTTGTAAGAATTTTTGTCCTGTAGGTGGTTTTATTACATTTTGATAGGTTTTTGTTGTCATACATTACCAGCATACCAACAGCAATTGTCTTTATCAGTTGCATTCAAAACATATGATTTCATCCCCTGTGTTTAAAACATTTTTAACTCAATTCAACAGCCCAGCACCCTATTTTACTATTAAGACTTAATAATAAGGAATTTATGAACAAACGTTGCATGAATCATATTATCATGACCAGCAATTAATCTTCATAATTATACTGGTCAAAAGCCTATGTACAGTATTGTTATATATTTGGCTGTCCCAGATTATTCAAATGGTATTTCTGCTGTATGACTTCATGACATGTTATAAATCAACCTCTTTGTAACTATTAACATTTTTAAGTACAAATATTCTTTTAGTCTATTTAATTGCCATTCAGACAATACATCAGAAGGTGCTTTGTACCAGTTCTGCTTGGAAGGATAGTCAATGTTTCTTCATTATGATTTCATCCCCTGTGTTTAAAACATTTTGAACTCAATTCAACAGCCCAGCACCCTATTTTACTATTAAGACTTAATAAGAAGGAATTTATGAACAAACGTTGCATGAATCATATTATCATGACCAGCAATTAATCTTCATAATTATACTGGTCAAAAGCCTATGTACAGTATTGTTATATATTTGGCTGTCCCAGATTATTCAAATGGTATTTCTGCTGTATGACTTCATGACATGTTATAAATCAACCTCTTTGTAACTATTAACATTTTTAAGTACAAATATTCTTTTAGTCTATTTAATTGCCATTCAGACAATACATCAGAAGGTGCTTTGTACCAGTTCTGCTTGGAAGGATAGTCAATGTTTCTTCATAGGTTGTCAGCACTTTTAAAGGCTGAAATGAAGAAGACCAATTGACACTTTTGTAATTTAAGTTATTTAAATTATGAACTAAAAATGGACAAAATGGACATTCACCTCAATTTAGGTCCCCGTGACACGAGTCCCCATGAGTCTGTGTGTATTCACGTTTAAGGACTTAAACGTAGATATATAAACCTGTACACACACACACACACACACACACAAAGTTTTTTGTCCATACAATGAGTGTCAACAGATGCTTTAATTGTATTGATATAAACAGTGGATGCATTTTTCAAAATATCATCTTTTGTGTTCCACAGAAGAAAGAAAGTCATACAGGTTTGTAATGACATGAAAGTGAGTAACTGATGACAGAATTGTCATTTTTGGGTGCACTGTGCCTTTAAGTCTTAAAAAACTGATGTCTTTGTAACAACAGGAAAACAGACAAGTCTTTTTCTGCTGCTTTGCATGCGTGCACTAAACCAACCCAACCTCACAACAGGGTGCCCTTTTTAACTCTCCAACAAACATAGAAGCAAAGTAAATGTTTGCTTCTGTGTACATGAAGAAGCTCAGATCTTCAATGTGATAAAACAATTAGAAACTAAACTCCAATTCAAATGAATTCTTGTAAGCTGATTATTGAGCACATTTACTGGTCTTGATTACAATCTCATACACGCTTTAATGTCTATTAGTGCTCCTAGAAACAGGATCTCTTGACACAAAAGCAGTCCGTTCCTGTGAATACACAATGTTTGGGAAGCATGTTAGTGAGTCAATATTACCGACACAGAAGCAAGAATAATGAAATGTCACCAGCATGTGTTTTAGACTAATGATGACAAGCCTAAAGCAAATGAAAGAAAAAGAGAATTGAAAAGAGGATGTTAATAAACAATTAATAAGCAAAAACATCTCCGGTCATGATAAAAAAACATTACACATGACATTTGTAGACGTCTAATTGGAAACTTTGTTTTTCCTGCTTTCAGACAATGCCAAGGAGGAATGGTGCAACCTTCAAATTTTACAAGCCTCCACAGTGCTGAGAAGTCTGAGTAAAATCCAGTACAAATGGTCCTCAGATGGTGATATCTCAACATGCTTGAAAACTATTGATCCTTGTTACTGTGTCTTGTGTTTGCCCTCTTTATCCTTATGTTGTGATGTGATTTGATTATTTAACCCAAATAAATCCTTGAATCTCAAATCTAGGTTGCCTGGAATAATGTTGCGAAAGTGAAAGACAAAACAAGGCTTATGGAATATTAGGTGCTTATGTGAGCATAATGCACTTTCAGTTTTGATTGCGATTACAGATGTCCCATTGATACTATAGGTTGGGGTTTTCAAAACCCCATTACCTCACTTACCATTGTGGTTTTCTGTTTGAAAGAAACCGTATTCTGTATGTACTTCAAACACTCACACATAATCTTTTTATATCGGAAACAATGACATGAACTAGATCACATTTTTGTCCTTGCATTGTACCGCACATTTGTCTTGTGTTTCAGAGAAGCAGTGGCACAGCAACAGGCACCAGTAGTTTGATTAATTGCCTTTTTGAGGATGGAAAGAGGCTGTGTACCAATTTGGAACCAAAAGGAGCTACTCAACCTTCACAGACCTGTTAATGAAGGCTATTCTCAACATTTTCTCTGAAATGAACTGATTACTCATCAGTAATCAAGGTCATTTTAGACTAACAGCCCTTTCTGAATGATGATACCGTCTCAACAGTGAGATGCTGTTCACTTCTTTATGAAAAAATATTTTCAGCAAGCATAATCTAAAAAATCGTTGTTTGATACAGACCGGGACAGGTAATATCAAAGCTTGCTGGTCAAGGATCTATTGGATGATTTACAGAAGATACCAGATGAACTTTACTCAGCATGAAGTTCTCCCTTCTTGATCGGCTCCTGAGGATTTATTAACCTAAGCAGGCCAGAGTGCTGAGCTAATGTAATTGTCTAAGCCAAAGTAGCCAAGGAGCAGCATGGCATCTATCATTTCTAAGAGAGATGAAAGTTGTTTCCCTTTTCAATCTCTCATTAACAATTCACTCCTAATGAGGCTGATTCTCACAAACCTGAGAATAAAAGCAGTATGCATTTCAAATTGAAGTGAATACAGACATTTTTGGAGGATTTAAAAGCAGAAATAATTTATAAAAGCACCTACAATCTTCAGTTGAAATGTTTTTTTTTTTTATGTGGGCTGCAAAGCCCTTTTTTTTTTACAACCATTTTGGGGGTTTAGGATTTATGGTGTTGTTGTATGAAGTTATAAAGTTGATATAACTTTACAGAAAAGATTAGTAAGTGATTTTCCCCTTAAAATCATGTTAACACTCTTATTGTTCATATCTTGTGGCTATACTGAAACTGAGTATTTTGTTTACGCATTGGCCTCATTCACTTCCATTGTAAGTGCCTCACTGTAACCCAGATTTATTTATTTAAAAAGAGGGACAAGTGAAAATTAATTTTTTGTGATAATCAGTATTATGCTACAAATGCTGTCAATTCTAAAATTGATTAATATTCTAAATATTAGGATTAATATTGAAGGACTAATGTGTAGTACAGTAGCTGTGCAGAGCATACAGGATACAATAGAGAGTGAAGTTCTGCAGAAACATCATTGTGTCACTGTCCGTAAAATGATAGTCATGCTCTGGCAGTTAGATAATGACTAATTTTTGGCATCACAGTTTACTTGTTTTTAAAAACCAACAGTACTTCCTCTATAACAGATGTGTAACGGTCGAATGCAAGCATACAAAGCGGTGTGGACTGCTGCGCTGTACGTACAGTATGTTTGACTGATAAGATCACAGCTGCAAGTGAAGGGGATGGAGCCCAAGCTTCCAGCTGTTTGGGGCTAAACGACTCACTAATTAGTCACAGCAATTATGGCACTTATCTTAGAACTCCAAGGAAATGGGAGTGTTAGGATTGTGGAAAAAGCTTGAGCTTGTAATAGAGCACACACATTAGCTGTAATGTGTGACTTGGAGGCGTTTGTGTGTGTGTGTGTGTGTGTGGTGTAACTTCCCTAAATTAGGTTCCAATATGAATTTGAAAGTGCTGTGCCTGCTTTCAGAATTGAAATGTGAATGACATCATTTGAAAGGGGACTGTAGCGAAGAAAGCTGAGATGATAGAAACCATCCAAGGTTTTGTTATATGTGAAGTCTAAAAAAGAACCAAGTGTTGGAAAGTTGATTAATTACTCTGGTACTGTCACACAGGGACATCCCCTAACAGCCACAGTCACTGAGCTGAGAAAAAACCCGATGGTAAACAAAACTTTGTACTTTCCAGAAATAACAAGTTTCAGTAACTTTGTGTTCACTTGTCCGCATGATATAAAAAAATTGATTAAAGAAATTAATTTTATTAGATATTTATATATTTAATATATAAATGTAATATATATTTTATAAAAGGCAACAAAAAAAAAAGATTTCCAAAATGTTTTTTTCTTTCGCTGTCACTCTTTTAAATGTTATAATAAATGACAGTAACACCACTTTGACCATTTTAACCTACAAAAATATCAAAATAAAAGAAATTCACTGTTCATGAGAGAAAAGTGTTTTATGTAATTTTAAATATTAGTATTATAGTGTATTTTTCAATAACTAGCCTAATACTGTAGTTTGGGGGAGAAGAAAAACTGTCATTGACCCATATATGCAAAAATATGTAGAGTGAGGGAGGAAGAAAAAGTAGTTTGAATGTGTGTGGGTGTGAGAGAGAGAGAGCGAGAGAGAGCGAGAGGAGGGCATCTAATCGGATTATGGAGGCAGAGTTTTGAAGCGAACTTGTCTATTTCTCTGTTATCTTCTGCGGGGAATGAACAGCGCTTCCACCCTCAATGCTGTTTGTTTGGAATATCACAATATCTGTAAAGTTTCTCAGGGAACAAATTTCGACATTCTGAAGATTGTTTCACATTAGCTACATGGAACTGCAAATACTTATTTTCTGGAGTTTTCTGTTTCCACATGCGTTTCTGATCGTCGCCGAGTGCTGCTGAGGAACACTACACTGACAGTGGCGTTATAGAGACAGACATTATTAAAATGAGCTGATAAAACTACGGTAAATTTTTATTACATGGACACCAATTGCACTTGCTTTCTATACGAGTGGGGAAAATGAAGTCGCGGATACTTAAAAGAAGATTTGAACCTCAGTTTGGAGATTAAACGCTTTTTAAAATAGCATTTTTGCTTGTTTGGTATGCTATCTATGATTTTAACGAACCTAAATGCAGCCGAAGGAGACCAGGAGGTGTTTGATCCGCATGACTTGAGGATTTTATTTTATTGGGGTTAAATGGTTCTGATAACGGACAGCAGGGATGGCGGAGGATCATCTCCAGGAAAAGTTAAACCACTTAAACATGCTAAAAGCGCCCAGATCTGTCCCACTATCGTGGAGGAATCACCTGATCGCTCTGGCGATAACGATTATGATGAATATCTCGGCTCGGTCGAGTTGGATGTGAACTTCGAGGAGTTGGATGTTTTCTCAGACCTGCCGGATACCAGGAGCATCGCCTCAGATGACTCCTTTTATCCACCGGACGATGACTTTGCTGTTTCGGAGAGAACCCCTTCCCCGGAGAGTCCCGCACCGCTGTCCTTTTTTCAGGCGTGTTGCAACAACAACGCGCTTATAGTGAAACTCATGATTAGACAAATAGTCACGGAGGAGGATGTACAGGAGACGGACAAAAACAATAGAGTAAGTATATCAGAAATTAAAGTAGGCTATATCACAAATTAAATGCATAATTAAATTTGGTCACACACTTTACATTACAGTACACATGCTACGGATAAAGGAGAAGTGTGTAACAATGTAACGAATCGTTTTCTTGAGTCGGATCTTTTCATTTAAACAATTGAACAAAACTGGTCTGACTGAACGATTAATTTACGAATTGAATTGAACCAGGGGTGTGCGAGGCGGTCAGAGAAAGATCTTTTCGGATTTGTACGACTCGCAATAATCCAGGTAAATGGGATAGTTCACTCAAAAACAAAAATTTGCTGGTAATTTACTCAACTTCAGGATAACTTTTGCAGAACAGTAAAGAAGATTTTTAGCTGAAACCATTGTCCTTGGTGATTTATAAAATGTAAGTCAATTGCTACCGGCACTTTGAGAGTCCAAAAAAGCATATCAGGCAACACAAAATGAATACCCGTGGCTACTGGCGCTATATTGAGGTCTTCTGAAGCAAAACGATTGGCCTGTGCAAGAAACTGAACGTTATTTACAACCTTATAGCCTGTAATCCATAGCCGTAGGTAAATGTCCGATTCTTTTCCGGGAACTGGTTCTTTTGGAGAGTTCATTTCAATGAACTGGTTCAAACAAGTGATTCACTAGTTTGCTTACGTACGGAATGATGTAAAATAATTTTTTTTATTATTAAGCATCCAATAATGATGTGAAACGCAGAGGTTTTACATAGTGAATAAACTAGTCTTAATCAACTCAATTTTTACGTAAACTATGAGAAGCCATAAAAACTTAAATTTTGCTCCTTTATTCAAGTGTTTGGTTCACGCATGTTTGTATCAGCAGCTCATCAGTTCTTTGGTTCAATTCCAAACTGTTTCCTCAGTTCAGTGTATGGTTGGAGGAACTGGAGCACTAAATGAGTTGGCAAAAACCAGCATCATAGGATCATATACACCGGTATAATCCTCAGAGCGACTGCCGGTGTTGTGCCCATTTTCGACCCCCTGGCAAATTATTACCCCCCTCGTTGAAATCGCTACCTGATTGCCTAATCCTAACCCCGCCC